TCAATACACCATGAGGAAACGGAATAATTAATAAAAATAGCGTTCTTATATAGCTATAATGTTAAAATAATCAACCAGGCTTTCAATTTTAGAATAGAATTATCATTATTGGTATACAAAATGTTAATGTCATTGGTACGAAACGTTTCGCGTGGGACAAAAGCTTCCAAGTGCTTAATAATTAGTTTTGTGTGAAGTTTTAAAAGAAAGTGTGATGTTTTTATGAAGTCTATTGAAGGAGAGTTATTACGAAATATAGTAAATTTTTTCACAATTATTACATTACATAATCTCAACTCAACTTAAATATTTGGTTCGTTATATTAAGTGTAAAGTTATTTTATTTTTTTAAATGTGAATGGCTGTTTATGTAAAAATCTAACCTCTAAAAAAACTGAAATGTCCATCATATTCAGATTTTAAAAAAATTAAAAATTTGATGAAATTAGTTTTTTTAATATTATTATAGCTTCCTTTTAATGTATTTAGAGTATTTGAAAAATAATACGGTACGGTTTAATACGGTTCACGTAAATCCGTAAAAAAGCATTTTGATTCACATCATTTCGCCCTACACACGAATGGAAAGTAAATTTGAAAAAGTAAATTTGTAGAAAAATCAGGCAAGTTAGTGGAAACAATTGTTTGATGTTTCTCTAGCGCACAGAAACATTTTTCTGTTATTGTATGAAATCCTGTCTTGCTGTTCCTTGAAGTCAGTAATCGAAACATTAGCTATTGTGACAAATTTTTGTTGAGTCATTTCCAAAAATTTTACCGTTTTATTTAATTACAACGACAAAAACAGAAATATTTTTATATAAAATTGTGACTTACCTTTCGCAACATTGAACTCGTTTCTTTAAATATTTCACTGTTTTTAGACAGTAAGTTGAGGAAAAAACTTACAGAACATTGATTTTTTCCCTCCATAGTTATTTATAGTTATTCCTTCCTCTGAAAATTCGGCAAATCCCTTCCTCCCAAAATTGGTAAATTTCAATACCTTTTTTAAATTTAGTCTCATTTTCTTCAAACGGCTTTTAATGATTTTTTAATTTGTTTGTAGTTACCATAATCTATAATATTATTTGTCTCATTTTGTTTTTCACCTGTCTACTGTCTTAAAAAATTTTGCAAACCCCTCTTCTCCGACGACAGATATATTACGTCAAAACCATCAAGCGTCGAATAATTTACGCCCAATCGAGCATCTGCTATGTAAGCAACGATAAATCTTTGCTGCACAGCTTCAAACAACATTTCCTATTAAATTTCCAATCGGTTTCTAATTTCTTCTAAATTTCTTTCAAAATCTTTTTTAATTTTACCCACATTTCATTTATCTAATGTAAATTTTTAATCGAATTAAGCTAATCGGATATCTTAGAACTAATTGTGTCGAAGAAAATTTCATAAATGAAATATTTTAGTGTTATACCATATGTGTTTATCAATACAAAGAAGGGGAAGGTATCACTTATGACTAATAGCGAGTTCCTGCAAGACAATTTTTGTCTTAAAAACGATACAAAAAACAGGCTGAGTATTTTCGGTGAACACATAATATTTGCTTCTATTTTAAGCTTAAGGTTTACTTTCTTTTTATATTTTTTTAAAAAATTTAAAGACTCTTAAAGTTTCGGACACGTGACATTAAAAATTTTGAGTATAGTTACTGAATTTTAAATCGATTTTAAGGTTTTTTGTTGAACAAGATGTTTTGTTTCCAGCAAACTTGAAAAAAATTGTTATTAATTAAATTTTTCGAACATATTCCAGCTACTGTTCATTCATCTTCATTTTTTAAATTATTTTTTATATTTTACACTTTTTTTTTCTTACTTGATGTGCCTATCTGTAAACTGTGAAGGTTGAAATTTAATTTTAAAAATTTAATTATTTTAATTGCTCAATTATATTTTTTCAAACTTTATTTTATATACGCAAGCTCTTTTTTGTATCTTAAAGAAAATAAGTTTTTCCTTCTTCTTCAGGGAAGATTAATTTAGACAATTCTCATTAATTCAGAGTTTTATTTTCATTTCCGTTTAAAAGAAAACAAAAAAATGGATAAAGCAAAAAATAATTGTATCTCAATTATCCTTTCAAATGTAATTAACTTAATTTATTCACATGAGTTAAAATATTTTTTCATTTAATTTTTTTTTGTCAGAGTTACTTTTTTTGAATCTATAGACTTTTCTTTTTAATTTTCCAGCTTTTAACTTCTGTTTTTTGTGTTTGCAAGTTAAAATTTTCAAATAACTTTTTTTATTTTATTATATTTTCTTTTTTCATTAAATTTGATTAAACATAACCTTAAAACAAGATAACTCATTAAATGGAGGACATTCTTTATCTTAGCTGGTTATGTTGAGAAAGTTCAGAAAGCAAATGATGATACCATGTATTCCCAAGAAGAATAAAATTTCATATATGCATGAGTTTCACGTGATTCTCTTGTAAATTCTTTTAAATGTTAAGGTTTGTTTGGTATATCAGATAAAAAAAATTCAAGTTACACATAATATGAATTTTCAAAGATGTTATCTTAAAAAAGTTGTAAAAAACAAACATAAAAAACATCGACTGCTAATATATTTAATTTGCTAACATTAGGATACTTTTAAAATTCTTGTATGTTTCGTATACTTTTGAAAATTACAAATTTTTTCCCTTAATGTAGAATGTATATAATTTGGAATACTTGTTGAAAGGGTGTCCCTAAGTGCCATTTCTTAATTTTTATCTTGTACTATAAATTACGAAGTAAATTTGTAAAAAGAACTACAAAGGACCAGTAGAACTTATTTCTTCATAAATTTATAGGAAATTCCTTAAAAATAAACAGAAATAGAAATTCGAGCTTAAAACAACCTTTAATCTCGAAAAACTGAGCACTACTAAATTTTATATGCATAAAATTCCATTCCAAAACAAAATAAATTTTCGGGACTTTCCCTTTATGCTCAAACTAAAAAAAACTTTCTTTCAAGTAAAATGACATATTCCTGTGCCAAAGTACAGTGCATGAATTTTACTAATCGAACACGACTCATCATTGATCAAACTCTAATCTTGTTAGAATTTCAAGAGAACTCGTTCGAATTCAAGTCTTCTAAAAAAATTCAGTTGGCACGCCAACTATACCCTCCCTGTTATTGAAATGATGAAAATTCCATTTTTGAATTGCCTGCTTATCTCTTAATTTCTATCCTCCTCAAAATCGATTCTGGCACATGTGATAATTAGATATATTTAAAAAAGAAAATTCTTTGAATCAACTTTAATGACTTGCAAATGTAGTTATTAAAGCTTCTATTTATTAAAAATTTGGATCAGGATCAACCAATTTTTACTCAGTTAGGGAATTTTTTAGAAATTTATTTTACTAACAATTTTCTTAAGGGCTGAATAAAGGCTGAACAAAAACATTTTTCACAAATATTTTCGAACCTATTTTCAATGTTCAAAAAGGATTTTCAAAAAAGTTACCTATATTAAAAGTTACTTATATTGACAAAGTATTCGAATTTGTTTGTATACACCAATGATATTATAAGGGTATGAATATGGGTTAATGTAAAACGAATATAATAACGGAGTAGCTTGCAATGGTGTTTTGTATTTAAATATCTAAAGGTATTTGTTTAAATGTACGTGTAATATAAGAAGAGCATTCTACTTGTTTCCTTCTTAGAAAGGATTTATTAGATTTTATAAGAATAAACTCGATTTTTTATTTTTAAAACTCTTATAAAATATTAAAGAAAAATATAAGAAAGGAAACAAAATGTTAAAGTTATTTTTTCTTTTCTGGTTGTTTCCTAAATACAAGATGCTTTTATATTCAGACAATTTAATTTATTCTTTAAAGAAGAGACTTTTATTTTCCCTTTATTTGAAAGGATTGTATTGTAATGTGCCAATGTTAACATTGTTTCGAAGGATGTAATCGTGACAACAAAAAGAGCTGCGAAATAAATTTATAGACTAAAGTTATTTAAAGTATAAAAGTTTTTGCATTTTTATTAAACAGATAAAATAAATGTACATATAAACTGCGGACTTTCGATTCAGATTTCTTATGGCAACAAATAATCAATTTGTACTTTGTGGTACGAGTATTATAGCCTATGACCCGATTTGTTATTGTACTTTTGGCGAAAATGACAAAAAAGTAAAAATTTTGTGGTGTTTTTCAAAGTGGCGAATTTAACAAGCAAAGCTTTTAAGTTGATTATCTTGTTAAATTGAAAGCCGAAAATTTGTCTTTCCGAATTTCAAACAGCCACAAAGCACTATAAACCATAGCTCAGTTTTTATAGTTTTCCTTTTGATACGATCGTTTACCTGCTTTTAGAATTTAATAATCCTTTTTGCATAAACTTTTTAGCTTATTTACGTATGTGTGTCTTTTCCAAATTTTTATACAAATTTGGATGCGTGTTTTAACAGATTCTTTCTTATTCATAAAAGTAAATCTAATAGATATTAACACATTTGATATAACAGGATATTTTTGACAATCAGTAAGGTTTTCTTATGCATGACGTCATTTATGTTTTTATTTATTTTTGTTTCACTTTAGATTTTTAAATTTGTGATATTTTTTAAGAAAATTTATTTAACGAAAAAGAATAATGATTAATAATAAAGTGGACATAAGTCCTAAGAGGCTCCCATGGAAAATATTAACTTGTTGGTTCACAAATCTTGTAATGATGTGATAAGATATTCAGGTTGATTACTTGCAGAAGTTTCAATAAATAGCTGGATAATTACATCTTCACATCTTTTCAAATAAAAAATTTATATAAGAGTTTCTTTAAAAAAGAGAGACAGAAAAAAATTTTCTTTTCCCTAATAGCTTTAATTGTCGCTTGTGTCTACTTTGACAATGTTGAATTTCTACATTCATAATTTAACTTTTTTTGTTTCTTTAAATCAAATTGAATTTTATCATAATCATCAACTCTCTTTTCTTTTTCTTTTAGAAAAAAGTGTTAAACGTCCAGAACGTAAAGCATATGGTCGGCTTAGTGTGGATTCAGATGAAATAACATCATTACAAACAAAAATTGATTCATTCACATCGTCATCTGATTGCAATGAATTTAATTCGGGTACGATAAGAAAATCGAAAACATTTCAAAATTCAACAAATTTTCACGAAAATTTATTAGAACAACAATTAGTATTAGATTTTAATTCAAATAATAATGAAAATAATAATAATAAGGATAATACAAGTAAACTTAATGAAAAAATTGAACAGGATAACAATAGAAATCAAGATCATAAAAAAAATGCTGTAAGTGAAGTAAAAACGAAATTAAATTTTATAAATAAAAATCATGAAAAACAAAATATAATAGAAAATAATGAAAATTGTACCATAAATCGATTACAACCAATTCCAACAATGTCAGAAGATGAAGACTATGGTAGGTGAACGCTATTGCAAACATTTCCAACTTTTTTAAGGATTTTTGTTTTTTTTTTTCATACACACTAATTTTTTTGATTTTCTTAAATTAATTTAATAAAATTCTTGATTTCAGTTTTGTGAATAATTTTTGATTCTTAAATAGTTTGACTTTGACGCTTTATTAAAATTCGTTTTTTAAGAATAATGGAAAATTAAACTTTTTTAAATTTTTATATTTTCTTTTCTTAATTATTGTGTGCGCGTACATGCATGACTGCCACTGCCTATTGTTCATGTTATTTCACATTGAAATGTTTTGTAATCAAATTTGGCTAACGTATGCTCAGATGAATCTTTAACTTGTAATGTATGTGACAGAGCATTTCATTCACCAAGTCAACTGGCATCACATCAGCAGAAGAAAAGGCATTTTGGGTAAGGATCCTTTTTTGTTTTATAAATATAAATTTTAAAACTATGATTTTTTCATCCCAAGAAATCTACAAATATGTACATTACAATATATATATACATATATTTGTATACACATATTTTTATATAGTTAAAATGAAAGTAGATTTTTTTTCTAAATAAACACATTTAAGGGAATATAAAGATCCTTTTATTCACGTTTAAAATGGAAAAAGAAAATGTTAAAAAGTAGTAGATTAAATATTTTGGTTAAAAATTTCTTTAAAATTTTACATTACAATTTGACAATCATGTCAGATGTTATGGTTTTTATTGCAAGGGTAAATTTTCAAAATCCCTATTTTTCTCTACAAAATCTGTTTGTCTATGTTCCTTCATTTTTTTAACTGTCATCTCGAATTATATTTTCTTTTGTGAAACTGAAATAGAACAAATTTAACTCGTAAAATTTGTATGTATACCTATATGTAAAAACATACCAATCTGATAGGCAATAGAAGTAGGTCGAAAAAATGTAAAATTGAAGGCAAAAATTAAGATGGATGAACTCTTTTGAAAATATTTCCTTTCATTTCTAAAATTTTTAAAATTTTTTTGTAATATGTACATATATTATGCACATATATTTTATATATACACATATGTATGTGTATATATGTATATGGTTTGAGTGAAAATGAGAAGACGAATTATGAAGTGTGTGTATCGAGATTATGTAAAATTATAAATTGTACAACTATAGAAAATGGTTTGCATGTCCTTTGATCGATTTAGAAAAATTAGTACGCTATAATTAGATAAAGAATAATTAGCTGTACTACATAAAATATAATTTAATGTGTGAATTAAAGATAATTTACATACAGCTATATATAAAAATTTTGTTAATTTAGAATTAGGGTGATGGCGAATATTCAATTAAATTCGTTGTGAATAAATTTGACCAAAATAAATAAATTATTTGAAAATATCTCATATTCGTTGAAGCGATCATTATATGTGCACAAAAGTGCATTGCAAGTACGTTAAGTGTTCGAAAAGCTTGTACTAGAAGACACATTCTCAGATTGCAGCTATAACGTTTATATAGCAGTTAAAGAAACCCTACCAATTATTTTATATTCCCACCCTTATGCGTCATCTAAGGTCAAATTGAACGGTCACCCTTATGCAACATCTACGGTCAAATTGAATGGTCACCCGTATGCGTCATCTACGGTCAATGTAACATGAATGAAAGCGAATAAAAGAGGTTAATTTAAATTTGTTGCAAAAATTTCGAAATTCTACTGGATTAAAAGATTTGAGTTTACTGAATAATTACAATGGTTTTTTCTGGTTTAATTTTTAGCACTGTTTCACAAAAAATTGTAAAACTTCATTCTGTCTCTCCGCCCGTATTTTCGTCCTTCCATGTGTCTGTTTCTATGCATTTCTATGACAGAAAGCTGAAATTTGTATACAAAAAAATTTTTAGTGGAACCTTATTTTTTTAAAAAAAAATTATTATCTTTCTTTAAAAACTGTAGCCCCTCAAATTTCTAAAATTGGCGTTGTTGACTATTCATTGTATCACCTCCGCTCACTTCTAAGTTATTGCCAATCGAAACCCGTAAAATTTGAATTTTAGCGATCTTATATTTTCGTTAACAGCAACCTTTTCCAAAACTGCAATTTCTGTAAAAGCAATCAGCTAACGGTAGATACCTATCCATCAAAAAATTTAAATTCTTAATTTCACTCGCTTAATTAAAATTTAAAATCTTTATTATTCTGAAATTCTTAACTTCATTAACATTCGAATTCAACCGTTATGTTAATCCTTCTTCCAATTCTTCTCTTATCCTTTTCCTGTATGTATGCAACAATTTGTTGTGATTTGGTAAAGAAGTAAAGTTTTTTAAATAATGTAGTAGGTTATTTTTAAAAATAGTACTTTTTTGATCTAATTTGTCTAAGGTTAATTTGTCTGAGGAAGAGCGCTGCTCTACAAACAATTGTTTTCATTCAAATATATTTCACCTCATATAACAAAATCGTGTAAAACTTTCTGCTAAATTTATTAAATTCAAGCTTGAAGTACACTTCCTTTTTTTAAGCAGGTAGATGGTAGAGCAGGTAGACAATTTAAACAGTAATTATTTAAAACTTTAAAAGAAAATTAATTTTATTTTTTGGCTCATTTTATTTTAATTGATTTTAATTAAGCACGTTCTTGCTCTGCTTTAAATGAATCATTGTGATACCTTTTTATATGTGTACATGCAAGCTTTAGTTTAATGATTCGCAGAACCTAATTATATGAAAACTTTAACTAAAATAAAACAAAATCTAATTTCATTAATTGAAATCAATTTTATTTAATGGTTTTTTTTATACTTCCGAAATTGTTTTAGTTTTTAATATAATAAAGGTGTTTTCGGTAAGGAGATTTCATGGATTCATAAACAATACCTATTGTATTATAAGAGTAGAAAAAATTCTATCGATACAATTAGTACAATCGATTTAAAAAAAATTTTCTTGTTCCATGACTGATCAATTATTCAATGGTCTGATTGGTTCATTACAAAGCAAAAATATCAATATTGTTTAAATTTTTTTTGTTGGATGTAATTGCTATATACTTTTATAGAAATTATTAAGGTTTTATAATGAAGAAGGACCTGAATACCTTAATGTAGCTAAAAATTTTGTATAAAAGTTTTATTTAAGTTATTAAATTAATTATTTTTTTGATAGGAAAAACTTGTCCTTTTGTGTTTATTGCCATTTTGTATTATTTCTGTGGTGCGTAGGTGGATTTTTTTTTTATTTTTGTTAAAGATGGATTTTGAGTGACAATTAAAGTGATAAACGGTGTTCAAACAACAAATGTTTCGGAGTACAAACCTAAAAAATTTTATTTCATATTTTTTGATAGTAGATTCCAATATTCTCAAGTTAAATCAATTAAGTTGGCCAGTTTTTCTTAAATTACTATAAGTTAAGTACTCATACTTCATGTACTTAACATATACGATTTGTACTAACATTAAATTAACATTCTATGTTTCGGAAAGTTTAAATTTTTTAAATCTTTGAATGAGTTCATTAATTTTATTTATAGAAATTCATTTTGAGTGGAATTAGAATTGGTATACAAATCAAGACAGTCTTTAGACCTTATGTTTGTATTATTTGTTTTCCTGTTGAAATTTTGACAATATGACATTTTCCGACATAAAAGGCATTTTAATTTGAATTTTAATTATTTAATTTAAATAAGTTTTTAATCCTTTTTTTTTACATAATCATATTTTCCTTGAATTTAAAAAGTTTCTTTAATAATTTGTGCAACGTCAATTTTATGCAAAACTCCCATGATCGTGGTATGATGTAATTTTAATTTTATAGCATAATCTTAAATAAATTTTGTAGTTTTAAGTTCTTATGAACATTTTTACTTAATCCTAAGTAAATTTTCATAAAAATCTTTTTTTTCATAAACAAGGATGGTAATTTTTTTTTAAATTACATAAGCAATTTTATATCTTGTTTTCTTTAATTAATTTTAAAACTTTAAACCTTGTAAAATATTTCAAGGTTTTTTCTACTTGTTCCCAGAAAAAAAAAATATAGAAAATAAAGAGAAAAAATTCTTAAAAAAGTTTTCCGCTGAAATTTAACTTATGTTATTATATAAGTTATTTATTCTATATATTATATAATATTATGTACAAGAGTGTACGAATGTTTAACAGAAAAAATAATTATAAGAAATTTGTCTGAAGTAGTTTTTTTTTTTGTAAAATAATAAACTTCGAAAGAGTTTTATGCCGCGAGAACTGGATTTATATTTCAGAATTTTAAAGAAAATTTACTAGAAAATTAAAAAAAAAGTTTCTCTTGGATTTGTGTACTTTCGCGGAACCAAACCAAAAGATTTTTAAAATTACTCAGCGAAATAATTTGGTTTTTTAAGAAAACATACTGAAAAATATTCCTTAAATATTTTAATATTTAAAAATATATTCGAAGCGAAGTGTTAATTTTAATTTTTAAATATTGCATATTTCCGGGCAAATTCCATATTTTTTTACTGACCGAATAAGATAATCACAAATGTTATAAGTTGTTACAAATGTTAAATGTCCATTTTAAGCTAGAATAATTAATTTTCTTGACATGGTATTTCATTATTTTTTAGTTCAGATATGTAGATCAAATATTTGCCATGCAACAAGTTAAGAATGAAATAACAAGTCATTAAAAACTGTTTTCGTTATAAAATATTTTTATAATATAAGATATATATATATCTTTAATAAAATGACGAATAATTGAATTTGGAAAATTGAAATTAATCTTATTAATTTCCCTCTTTTTCTTAATTTTCTTTATAGGTGCAGCGAATGTGATAGTTTATTTACATCTTTAATGTTATTAGAACATCATAAGGATGAATTTGAACATTGGAGTGATTATGATGAAAGTCAAATACCATGCTGTCGTAGAAATCGTACTGAAGAATTTGGTGACACTGATTCATTTACAAGTGAGGCTGCCAGTGAAGATTTGGAAAGGTTATTATAGGTGCCACTAAATAACAACTGAATAAAAAACAGTAACTAATAATCAAAGTTAATATGTATAACTATATAATTTATATAATGATCATTTAATGTAATCAGCATTAAAATCTGTGATTCAGAAAAAATTGTAACATGTTTTATTTTAAAACGAGAAAAAAGTAGAGTTGACTTTGTACGAATTCGTTATCCTATGTGCGAATAACTAATGTGCCATAACTAACTATGGGGCAGACTATGACTTTAAGTTGCCGTATTACCATATTAATTTATGCAAAATTTCAGTACTATGTGTTTTTCAAAATACTGGTTGTGCCAAACTACTATTGAAGTTGTATGGCAGCTACCAGATAGAGCCAAGAAATTTTAGCGAATTTTATCAAGCACATCGGCCCTACTAATATATTCACTTGTGTGAAATCTCAATATCACAGCTTTTATAGTTTCTGAGATATAGCCAAATAACTTTTGAAGTTGTATGGCAGGTACCAGAAGGAGCCAAGTAATTTCAACGACTTTTATGAGACACATTGGCCCTACTTATGTATTCGTTTGTGTGAAATTTCAATACCATAGCTTTAATAGTTTCTGAAATATAGTCAAATAACTTTTGAAGTTGTATGGCAGGTACCATAATGAGCCAAGTAATTTCAACGACTTTTATGAGACACATTGGCCCTACTAATATATTCGTTTGTGTGAAATTTCAATACTACATCTTTTATAGTTTCTGAGATATAGCCAAATAAATTTTGAAGTTGTATGGCAGCTACCCGAACCGGTACCCCGATCACGTCCAATTTAAATAGGGTTCTGGCACTTACTACAATAAATCATTTGTGAAAATTTGGTGAACTTAGCTCAATTAGTTTTTGAGTTATCGTTCGGACGGACGGACGGACGGACGGACCGACGGACAGACAAAGCTAAATCAACTCAGAATTTGACGCTGATCAAAAACATACACTTGAGTCTATATCTAACACCGTTATTTCTTAGCGTTACAAACGGTAAGGCAAATTTAGTATACCCTTCGAACATACGTTCGAAGTATAATGAAAGCATTGGCTATTTTTAAAATAAATTGGATTTTGTTCATTTTCAGATAGCCAGCGAATTTATGCTATTAATTTCAAGAGAATTTTTTTCCATTCTTCGAAATGGAGATTATATCTTAAATAAAGTCCAAATAACATATTTGAACTAATTAACTAGAAAGCATCGCAAATGACAATGAAACAGAAGCTTCAAAGTAATACAGAAATAATTTTCGTTTCCAGTTTTCAATGAAATATTTTAGTGTTTGAGGTAGTAAAAGTAATTACATAACAGCGCAATTCGTTTGTACCCGATTTTTTTGAACAATTTACCACGTCGTACTTGATTGTGCTGAAAATGTACTGGGCTAAGTTTTCAAGAAACTGTAATTTAACTGAAACTAAAATTCGTTATACCAATATTCTAAATATCATGACATAGTGATCACAGTGGTAGCACACTTCGTTCTGAACTGCCGTAGGCACGTTTTGCGAAAATTGTGCTTACATGGATGTCTTTTATTTCAAAGTCGTCAAAGGATAATTTTTAAGAACAGCCAAGCTTGTAGAGATTTTAAAGTCCTTTTCTATAATATGTTGATGTCTTATGTTTCAGGCCTTCTCATGTGGACCTAGGATTTCGTGGTTTTATTTTTTTAAAAAGTTCCAAAATCTGTGATACATAAAACGAGAAGCTTATTTTTACCTTTCTAGGTGAAAAATCCATTTTGAAGCTTAGGCTTGACAGGGCCGGTTTTCGGATAAATCTTCGCCCAAAAAGCATGGAATTTTCTGAGAGGTACCCAATATGAAATGTTTTGAAAGATATTTTTCAAAGGTATCCCAGAAATAATGATTTTTTTAAAAAACTGACTGAATGAACTATTTTAGGTCCGAAATCGCGGTTAACATAAATGGTTATCTGCTGGAAGTTTAGACAAATTAATTTGAGCTTAACTAGCTGAAGAGAACGTATTTAAAATTTAAAAATTATTTAAATTTTTTAATTAGACAAGGCAAACATATATAGAGAGTATGGTTGTTAAAATAATATTCAAATAGCATTAAACTTCAATTCCGGTTTAGATATACAGGTATTTTCTTTAAAGTAAATTTTTATATAAAAATATTTTCTAAAGCCGTACAAAAATTTAATATTATTATAAACTTCCTAACAGGGTAAATTAAATTAAATAACGAGCAAAATATTGCATTGCAGCAATTTCAAAAATTTAAAAGATAACATAATAAATAAAGTGGGGTCAAACCAATGGTTTGTATTGTAGCACTTTTCATTTCAACAAGAAAATAATGCTTTTAAATACAGTCTATGTATACCTACCACGCTATTAAAATTATTTTCATTTATAAACGAAACTATTTCAAGGATTGCATATATTTAGGATGAACGATTTATGCAGTCTCAAATAAAGCAAAAATTTATTTAAAGAGGGGTTAACATAATGCTCGATTTTAAGGGTTAATTGTGTGAGTTAAGAAAAATAATTATATTTTTTAATGTCATGGAATTTACCGTTAGCTTTTTACGTTTATAGAAATTTGAAAAAGCTGGCGGTTTCGGAATGCAAGGCGTCAAAAATTCAAAATTTATAAATTTCTTCTATGGAAATAAGTTTTTAGTACAGATCTATCTACATATAAAATTTCAGATTTGTAGCTTCAAGGGTGTAGAAGTTTTGTAAATAGACACACGGACAGACGGACGAACGGACAGAGTGGAACTAACAAGCACTTTTAAAAAATTTTTGTAAAATTGCTAAAAAATAAGATACTTTTTTAAATAAAAAGTTTTAGACTAATATTTGTCATCTCTAAACGAGTCCTTTTATAAATATTCGAAAATTGCAATAAATAGACTCTCAATCAGACATTTTATTCTATAATTCCAATATCCTTTTTTTCATATTATCCTTTTGTTATTTCAATTTTATTGTATTCAATAAAAGAACACAAAAGGAAAAGCAAAAAGAAGAAAACGAAGAAAATGCTGTCTGCATCAGGTTGTAATTTAATTTTTTTTGTGCTCTTCTTTTGAAAATCAAAATAATAAAAAAATGAGTTTTTAGAAGCGAAGACACTGAGACAGTAACAATTGAAATAACCTGTAAAAAAAGGTGAGAATTTAAAAACGTGATTTCTTTTTCAATTACTTTTTTAAAATATCAATTTAAATGAATTTCCGTTAAAAGGATATTTTCAGTTTTACTCATTATCCTTAACCATTTTTTTTTACTTTTTTTTTGATGCTTTTTAACTGAAATTTATGCTCGTTTCCCAAGATAATGCAAACTTATAATAAAGATGAGTTTCCGAATAAATGTCAGATTTTGTTTTTTAGCACCTTTTTTCATAAAAATAAAAAAAAAATTACTTTAGTTTTACTCCATCCGTCAGTTCACTTATGTGTGTGTGTAAGTTTTTTATTCTGTAATTGCAAAAGTTGTCATTGCAGTTAGAAACTAGTCTTTCTAAAAAAAATAAATTTTTGCTTTAAAGTCTGAAAAATGGTTATTACATTAATTTTGTTCGTTCATAACGTCTGTGGGTCTATTGCCAAAATGCAACTTTCTTCTCGCCCTCCCTTTCAAAGTAATCGGGTCTGGAAATAGGTAAAATTTTAATTTTTAGCGTAATTTATTTTCGGTACTGAAAGCTTTTGCACATTTTTAAAGTCAAAAACTCACGTAAGTGTCGGCAAATGTACAAATACTTGTCTTTTTCTTTTTTTCTTTTCTTAATTTTTACTCTACTTCTGAAGCTTCAACTAATTTGACATATTTTGGGGCATTCATGAAAATAATTTAAATTAAGGATTATTTTCTTAAAGAGTTTTTGTTTGTTCAAGAGTAAGTAGGTGATACATTAGAAACTACTGGTCGGATTAGAAATAATTAAATAGTTTAAGAACAATGAGCCTCAGTTCCACAAAACCGTTGTCTTGAATCGATTTTTTGCAAAATTTTAATATCCCTTTTCCCTGAAATGGTAAATTTTCGAAATTAAAACTTAAAAATAATAAATGAAACTTGCTTAAAAAATATATTCTTAAAAACTTATTCAAGGGAAATGTGCTACTTTACAAACCGTAGTTTTTATCTGAATTTATTTTAACTCAGATCTGTTATAGTTCTACGAGTTTAAATTGTGTCATCAAGAAAATAAAAATTACTGAGTTTAATTGAAAACATGATGTGAAAATGTAAAATGGATTTACAGGGATAAAGTTTTATTGAAACTTTATCATTTGCATTCTTTTTTTTTCTTAGGTGATAAGAGCATTGAAAACGAAAATATGTTGGAAATTTTTTCAAATTTGGTGTTTTGAGGAGACCTTTGTCGAATTATAACAACAACCAAATATAAGTGGCTTTTGTACTTGATTTAATTTTGATTAAATACATTTAAAAATGGAAGGGGATTTCTTACAATGTCTTTAACGAAATTCTACAGGCGGTCTGCTGAAACATTAACTCTAACAAGAAACCAACTTTCAGAGGTTATTCATTTTGTTGAAACTTTACACAAATAATGAGTAAGAGTTTTTTTCAATCATTCCAGTTCTTAAAAATTTTAAACAATGCACTTTGAAGTTTACTTATAAATGCGTTTGAATAGAAATCAATTGTTCTGCATCATTTAACGAAATTGATATGCTGCAACGACATCGTATTACCTAATTACATCGTATTACATAATTTCTGTTTAAAAAGGAACTAGTTATATAAACTTTGATTGTAAGTACAAGTTTCTATATTAAATATAGGAAAACTATTGTAAAAATGTTACTAATACCTAGACGTATTTACGATAGTGCTGGATTTATTTAAAAAAAAACGAATGGAAAAGAATAATTGAAGAAGAATGAAATTACAATCCGTTGGTGCAAAATGAAGCCAAACGATAATAAGACATCCTATTAAATAAGTTATCGAGATTTTCAACCAACTTCAACCAATTGAATTTTTTCCTTTTGTTTTGTTTAAGCTTACAGCAATCGAAATTAAAAAAGTTGCATTGCGGTATTTCTAGAATTAAACTTTAGAGAACTTTATTTTTGTTT